TACAGCTCTACTATCTTTGCTCATCAATATCATATTTTGATAACTTTATCTCATATTTGTTAAGAACCAGGTCAGTTGATTGATGATTTTTATTTTAAAATGCAACATTTATGGGACATGTTTGAAAATTCTGAGCTGAAATTCAAAGATGAAAGTGATGTTAGTAATTTTTATTACTTATCGAAATCAAATTTGTCTTATTCAACTTTTAATAGCACTTCGAATGAATTTGAGAATACCAAGTATTCACTTTTGTGCCGACATCCTTTGTCAACTATGGATAACGCTCTTATGAAATTGATATATGAGAAAACTTGGTTGGGTATGAGTCAGACTCATAGTGTTGATACTATTATTGCTGTTGCTTTTAAAAAAAGTATAATCTATACTTTTTACAAATTTTTTCACGATATGGGAGGACTAATCATCCCGTTCAAAAACATAGAGCTAAATATCATTATAACAGTAGTCTATTCATGATCCTTGCACTAACAAGACTGCTGTAGCAACAACCACTGAACCAAACAATTTTGAATCTTCTTCTGAGACCATTACAATCTCCACTACTAATATGTAAACTTTATTCAATCAAGTATTATCTTGATCTTATGTTCCACTATCGCATCAGGTAATGTTTAGTTGTTTGATATTACCTATGAAAATCATATGATTATTGACCCTTCTTTATTCAAAAGTAAGATAAATGTACCTAATGGTCTAATCATTAAAATAGCAAATGGATCTGTATTAAAAGCTAGCCACATTGATAATATTGAAACCTAAAAACTATGTATATCTAACACTTACCTTGTTCCTGATCTTGCCTTAAATTTGCTTTCTGTTGGTCAACTTTGTGACATTGGTCTTGATTTGCATTTTTCATAACGATATGGTTGTATTATTTAAGATCCTCAAATAGGTCAAAAACTTGGAATAGGGCGTAACGTTGGAACACTATTTGGGCTTAAAACTTTAAAAATTCCACAACATTTGCTTACTGTTGCTATATCTCAAACAACTAATTCTTTAGTTTCTTTAGATTTATGGCATTCTAGGCTAGGACATGTATCTATTTCTCAAATAAAGTCACTTGCTTCCATTGGTGTCTTAGGTAATATTTTTTATGATATTTTTTATTGTTTGTCTTGTCAACTTGCAAAGCAAAGTGCTTTACCTTTTAATAAAAGTGATTTTATCTCATCTGCTCTTGTTAATTTAGTCCATTCTGATATTTGGGGTCCACTTCTACGCCTATCTTAGGATATTCACATTATTTTATTATATTTATTGATGATTTCTCTCGTTATACTTAGATATATTTATTCAAACAAAGAACTAAACTTTTATCCATTTTTCATGAATTTAATAACATGATACAAACTTAATTTTCTAGAAAAATAAAAATTTTCAGGTCTGACAATACTATTGAATATATAACAATTGAGTTTCGTAACTTGTTAAAGGATGATGGGGCTCTTTTTCATAAGTCTTGCTTATATACTTTACAACAAAATGGTCGAGTTAAAAGAAAACATCGTCATATTCTTGACATAGTTTGTGGCTTTTTCATTTTCTCTTTCTTTTCTGAATATTTTTGGGTGAAGCTACTTTCACTACTATTTACACTATTAATTGTGTTCCCAAACCAGTATTAGGCACATGATCTCCCTATGAGTGTCTATCAATAAGGCACTTGATTACCATTCTCTTAAAATTTTTGGATGTCCTTGTTTTGTTCTACTTCTTACTCATGAAAAGACTAAACTTGAACCTAGAGCTAGATTATGTTGTTTTTTAGGTTATGGTATAGAACACAAGGGGTCTAGGTGTTATAATTCAGTATCAATGTCTTTGTATCTCAAGACATGTAGTTTTTTAGGAACATAAAAGTTCATTAGTGTGTCCTCATCACATTCACCGTGTTTTCTCCATGTATTTTTATAGATTTATATTTTGATTTTTCTTTAAATGAAAATATTATTATAAGTACTTTTGATTTGAACAATGATCCATCTTCTTCCACTCTTATTATGTTTGATCTGACTGAAGCTTCTATTAATACAGTTGTCCTTCACCAAACATACCTCCTCCACTTCATTGTTCCACTTGAGTAAAAGAACTCAACACTCAACTTTATGATTTTCACTGTTATTATGCTTTAGCTATGTTACCTGAACCTCATAACTTTTGTGAAGCTATTTCTAATCCTATGTAGCAGCAAGCAATGGTAGAGGAATGTCAGACTCTTGAGAAAATTCATATTTGAGATATTGTTAAATGATATTCTGATAAGTCAATGATTGATTGTAAGTGGGTTTACAAGATCAAGACTAGATCTGATAGGCTAGTGAAACGTTACAAAGCTCATCTTATTACTAAAAATTTACACAAGAATATGACATTGACTATGAAGAGACTTTTACCTCAGTTACACGTCTCATATCTGTTCATTCATTATTAGCTATTACTGCAGCTAGAAAGCGACTAACTTTTCAAATGGATATTAAAAATGCCTTCTTGAATGGTGATCTTGCAAGAAAGTCTATATGAAGCCACCTTTTGGATGCTATACCTTCCAACATGGCCTGTCATCTTTGACGTACTCTATATGGTTTTAAGCAAACCCCTAGAGCTTGGTTATCAAAGTTTAGTGCTACTGTTACACAATTTGATTTTACATCTAGTAATCATGATTCTACCCTTTTTACTCAAACTACTAAAAATGATACTATTTTTCTTGTACTTTATGTGAATGATATGATCATTATAGGTAATGACGTAAATGGTATTCAAGATCTGAAGACTTTTCTTTATTCTAAGTTTGAGATGAAAGAGCTTGGTCCTTTGAGTTAATTTTTAGGCCTTGAAGTCATTAGTAATTCTACTGGCTAACATTTGTCTCAAACAAAGTATGCTTCTGATTTTATTGCTCGAATAGGTTTAACTGATAACAAGATTGCATCATCACCACTTGAACAGAATTTAAAGCTTTCTCCTTCTGATGGTACATCATTTTTAGACCTTTTTTTTGTATCGAACTCTGGTGGGTAGTCTTGTATACTTGATAGTTACTCATCTAGACATTGCCTATGTTATTCATCTAGTTAGTCAATTTCTGTCTATTCCTTGATCTATTCATTTTGCTACAGTCCTTCAAATCCTACGATATGTCAAAGGTACTATGTTTCATGGTTTGCATTTTTCCTTCAGTTCTTCTTTGGACTTACATTGTTATTGTTAGGGGTGTAAATGATACATTAGTACTCGCAAGCTACTCGGATTTGATTCGAAGAAAACTCGAATTCGATTCGATTATTATCAAGTCGAGCTCGAGCTCGAGTAGCTCGACTTATCAATCGAGCTAAATTTGAGTATTCTTATATCTGACTCGAGTAGCTCGCGAGCCTAATCGAGCTTTTATATTTAAATATATTTTTATTATTTTAATTAATAAAATATTTCGAGTCCGAGTTCGAGTTCGAGCATGAATAATCGAACTCTTGTCGAGTATACGAATCGAGCTTATTTTTACATATTAATCGAGCTTAATCGAGCGAGCTTGAGTAGCTCGAATTCGATCATGAATCGAGCTCGAGCTTGAAAAACAAAACTCGATCGAGTTCGAGCCTCGAGTTATGAGTCGAGCTCGAGCTTGAACTTCTCACTGTATCGGCTCGACTCGGCTTGATTACACCCCTAGTTATTGTGATGTTGATTAGGTAGGAGATTCTACTAATTGTTATTTCACCATAAAAACTATTTCTTTGTTGGTTCTTTTCTTATTCCTTGGCAAAGTAAAAAATAAAATGTGGTGACCCGCTCTAGCACTGAAGCTGAGTATCGAGCTATTGCAGATGCCACATCAGAACTTCTATGGTTACGATGGCTACTTCAAGATATAGGTATTTCTTATCACTCTAGTACTCTTATATCTTGTGATAATTATAATGACATTCAAATAGCTCATAATGATGTTTTTCATAAACATACTAAACATATTGAAATTGATTGTCACTTAATTCGTTACCATCTGTTTGCTCAAACTTTTCAACTTGTTCTTATTACCAATGTTGATCAAAAAGTAGATATCTTCACTAAATCACATTCACCTAGTCAATTTCTTTTCTAAGTTTCAAATTCAAGTTGGCCTCTACATTACCATCTTGAGTTTGCAGGGTTGTCAATGATATTCTAGTAATGTTTTGATAATATTTTAGATTGATGATATTATTCTAAAAATATTTCAATAATATTTTATATTGATTTGATATTAATTTAGAAAATATTAAATATTGATTTAATCATTATTTTTATTTATTATATTTTTTTGAAACATTTAACCCCTGTATAAATAGGTATTAACTCTCATTGTAATACACAAGTCATTAAATAAAATTTTCTATCATTTTCTTATTTTTCGGTCCGAACCCTTCGTCAAACCTTTGCCTCTAAGGCCATCCAAGGCTGTTATCTCTACAAACCCAAAGTCCCGAGCTAGGCTTCAAGTGAAGTCCTCCTTCAATGAAAAGGCAGTGAGTGGACTAACCGCAGCCGCATTGACATCTTCTATGATTATACCTGACGTAGCAGAAGCAGCCGAGTCTGGTGTCTCCCCATCTCTCAAAAATTTTTTGCTTAGCATAGTAGCTGGTGGAGTCGTGCTTTTTGCGATTGTTGGAGCTGTTAAACTTTGATCCTGTCAAGCGAGCCTGAGGAGAATCTGAAAGTTCCCGTGAGAATTTTCTTGCCCTTTATCCTCACGATATTGCTATTTTGGTTGTGTAGTTTATGTTAGTACTAATACAAATGTTCTAGCTATAAATATGAGCATGAAACACTTGAAGTTGGAAATAAAAATATCTTTCATTGCAACCAAGATCATGCTTATCTAACTCTGAATGTCTCATAACAATCCCAGGATCGTATTCTGGTTGCCCATGTTTACATTTTAGTCTCATTATAAGAGAAAACACAAAAAAGAAGATTGCTTGATTCAGAGTGGCAAATTTCTAGAAATACATCTGAGATGGATTGACATTTTTGAGTTCAATTGTCAGTTTCATAGTTTACTGAGATTGTGGTATACTGTAATTTTGCAAGATTCGAACATTAATTGTAGGAATGGAGGATATCTGAATGGAGGTGATCACACATAGCAAGCCAAGATCAACTAATACTCAAGAATATATATCTGAATGGAGGAACTGATTACATTTATATATAAAGCTCTCATGCATCAGTTCATTCTAATGAAATCTGTAGACAACCCAAAGCCAACACATAATGTCTCAATCAAAACCAAGTTCTTTCAACAATTGGTGACTAATTTCTTTGAAGCAAAGTTTTTGCTGCTATCTTTTAATTGCTACCCTTCCCTTTCTTTTATTTACAACAACTTCTCCCAGACCGAGGCCTGAAACCTCAAAGGCGGTTACCCAACCCATGTCCAGGTATAAATCTTGCATCTTCCTCGGTGTAAACATGAGTTTCATTCAACAGCCTGAAACAAGAAATTTACCCATCTCAATTTGCTAAAAGTTGTTAAGCAACAAATAAAATAAAAACAATTTTTAATTTATAGTACCACAGCGAACTTACGACAAATAAACAGTCTTATTCATGGTCGCAGAGGAAAGGAATGAAGCGCCATTTAAGTAGAGTAATTCACCATCTACTCTTTCCGCAATCCTCCTATCAATTTCCTCAGCATCAATGGAGAATGGTTGATCCGAGGCCTATATTAAAGCAAATAGAGTTTAAGAAAAAAAAAAAAACTGAAGATGCTAGACATTAGTCCATTTAACCTCACAAATTTCAACATTAATTTCCATACCATAACCCATCCCCAGGTATCTGCAAAAGATGGCACATGAGCTGTGTACGCCACGACATCTGCATAAAACACACAGAAGAAAAACATGATTTAGTGTTGTTGTTCAATCTATTTTATAGAAATTTTGAGTTGATTGAGAAACTTACACTTGAAAACCTGTCTGATTGTGTTGTATATGGAAGAGAAGACCTCCTTGTGAGTGAAAATGCCAGCTGGGCCCGCCTACAGAATAGAAATTGTCTTAGATTTCATTATATTTGTTTTATTCTAATGTTTAATAAAAAAAAGAGTATGACCATGCACAAGAGAAAACAAACCTGAGTAACAAAAATGCCATTTTCATTGAGCTTAGGCTTAAGAATTTTCTCATAGAATGATTTTGTGTAAAGTTGATAGCAAGGCCCGCCCTCAACAGGATCTGCCAGGTCTCCAACTATGATATCACATTTCTCATTCCTCTTCTCCAGTTCAGCCCTTTACAACATATACACTTACTTTTAGTCAGCTTCCAATAATTGGCAAATTGCTTTGAAGCAAATCGCCATCACACAGTTCAATATACTTACTTGGCATCATTAATAACAAGATTAAGTTTTTTGTTGCAAAATGCATCTCGATTCACAGTCAGGAATCTGCGGCAGAAATTGACCACTTCCTGCAAATTAGCAGGCGTAGAATTATCAGATAGTGCCATCCAAATTAAGTGGCAATATGCAGAAAACAAAATCAAGCAAGTTAATTACCTGGTCGATATCACACATGACAACTTCTTCAATAGATTTGTGCCTGAGTGCTTCCCTTGCTGCAGACCCTTCCCCACCTCCCATTATAAACACAGTTTTAGGGCTGCAGAATTGGTAAGAAAATTTATATCATCAAATCTAAACAATAGTTCAGATGCTCTTATTTCAATTAATACAAGCATTTGAGCCTCCATCTTCTTTTGTGTTAAACAGCAGAACAATAGGTAACTCCCATAAATCCAATAGATCAAATGCTGGATTTGGTTACCATAGACGACAACTTCTCATTAGTTTATTTCAATAAATACTTATAAGATAGAATGGTTAGTTTCATTGCTAATTTTTATTAGAAACACATGAAAATATTAGATAAGACATAAAGTAATATAATTTAAAATTGATATAAATTATATATAAATTTAACAAAAATAAAAAAAATGTTTCATATTTTATGTGATAACACAAATTATAATATTATAATTTGTATATTTTATATATATTTAATATAATATACACATAACACAAATATATAAATTATCTTATTTAAGCATTTCTTTTTTGCTTTAAATTATACAGTACTTTGCAGATAATATATTGGCATATTATTATCTAGTCAAGTTGATGACTAATAACGGTCAGACAAAATTAAAAAAAAAAAAACAATAAAAAAAACCTAATAAAAAAAGCAGATAATGGCAATGGAGCCGTGGACCCCACCTTCCAACCTAAAAAAAAGGGAAAAAGACCTACCTTGAGTGAAATAAAAGAGCTGGGTGAATTAAGCACTCGTGATAAATAAACTCGTCAACTTCGGCACTCTGCATCTTTCCATCAATCACCAGCACCTATATCCAAAGCATAAATGCAATTCAGACAATTGAAGAGAAAATTAAATCAGATGTATGGCTTGAAAGTTGAATGAGTTTGAAAGGATGAAAAAGAAAATGAAACTAAACCATGGGTATTACGTACCTTTCCGAAACGTTTAGTATCCAAAAGAGCTATATCCTGGTACTCACTTGTGCCTTTATACAGCACACTGTTGAGAGAGAGAACAAGAGATTAGACTTTAGTTTAGATTGAACTATCAATCAAAAAGAAACACAAAGTTCTTTGCTTTCTTTATGGTTTGGGTAATGTGCGTAAATATCATTAATGCTTAAGCAATCTGATAGCCAGAGTTAAAGATCAAACTATGGAAACTAAGAGATATCATAAAACCAATGTAGAATTATAGTCTTTTTTTTTTTTATCTTTCTTTATCTGAGATTATGAATTATGATTAGGAAAAAGGACAAGATTTGGCTCAGACCCTTTCAAAGCAAAGGACCATTTGAGATCTTCATCAATGCTTTCTTCATACCAAGAATCAAATTGGTGAGTCTCAACAAGAGTTTGGTTAGTTGTTCCATTGCAAATTTTAGAGAAACCATTTGGATAGAAGATCTCAACAGCCTCACCCATGATAAAAAATGTTTAATAAAACCTCAAGAGAAAAGAAAGACAATTTGTGTTAGAGACAAAGCAAGCCAGCAAAGAACAGAAGAAGAGCAAACGATAGTAAAAGTGTGAGGATTGTAACGACAAGATACGTGCTTTTATAGCACTCTGTAAAGGGAAATTAACTCCAAAACAAAGGAAAAAAGAAAATTCAATCTTTTATATATATTATGGTATTTTCCTAACACGGGCAATGATTCTGTCACAGGGAGTCCCATGGATTTTCTGTCACATTAACCCCTCACTCAAGCCATTTATCATCGTACATGATTCATGAAAATGGCGACAACCCACCCTCGTTGTTTCATGGTGAAGTTCTAAGCTGGCAGTAATGAGAGGACATGTGTTGACATCTAAAGCTAGATTGGGTGAAATTTCCAAGAGATTGACAGTCATTCTAGAATTTTGAAAGAAGCATGCGCATGATGTAAATGAATGACATCTGCTATGAGTTGGTGGATACGAGAAGAGGGGAAGGAACCAAATAAAAAAGGCCAAAGGAAGAAAAACAGGGATGTGTCCGCGTGGGTTAATGGTGGAGCCCACAACGTACATTTAGTAATGACACGTGGATGGAATTTATGTGGCATTATATGATAGGATGATGATGGTCCACAAAGAGGGTTACAGTTGTGGGATATTTATTTATGCTTCAAAAAAGCGATTGTTATTGCCTGTGGGTGTGGGCTTGTGGCTAAGTGGGGGGTACTATAATCCGACTGACAAGCCTACCAAAGAAGAACAATGAGGGGCAGCTGGGAGCCATGCAATAGAAGGATTTGTGGGTCCCCAAGCCCAATGAATGAAAGTGTGTTTGTGTTATGGGAGATGAGAAGCATTTGTTGAGCGTGGGGTGACTCCACTTTGTGATTTTCTTTTTTCTTTTTTCTTTGTTGTGTGTGTGAAATCCACTCCAATGTTATTACCTCACTCCATCATATCCCCTCATGCACTTTGTTAGATTTCAAAATGACCCTTTGTCTATCTTCATGAGATAATGCAACAATAGCTTTTGATTATCCATTATTACTACCAAAGCACCACTGATTTTATCTATTTGCACCTAATTCTTTTTTATTTTTCTTTTTGGTATGATAGCTCATATATATTCTTTTCTTATGATGTACGGCAAATGTGGCAATTGATAACTATACAAATTTTGTTCTTTTTTTTTTGTTACAAAAATATTAGGAAGAGGAGAACCAATCTCGTGTTAAGAACATAGCATGCTAGAGATCTCTTTTGAAGATAGATATTGATCAAAATCTCACATTTGTACCTCAATAGGATTTAATTGTAATTTTGTGTTGATAACTTAAAGGAAAACATGCTAATTTTTTTTTGGATAATATAAGAAATATTTTTCTCAACTTGAAGGGGATATATATAATGGTGATAAAGGAATGCGATATTGGAGCACCAAAGGGAAATGCCGAAGTGCTACACTTGGGTTGGAAGTTGAAACCTTTTTCTTGTAATGGGGAGACAAGGGTGCATGAAACTATATATTTTTATTAAATGAATTGTGACAGTGTTCATTGCAAGGGCGGCTTACAAGTCACATCACAATCGTTTTGCTACTATTTCAAAAGTTTTAAACCCACCTTTCTCTAATTTATCTATATATATCCCATCATCCAGGTCAACGGTTTACTAATCCATGACCTCTCAGTCAAAACGTTTGGAAATTAACACCTTTTCCTACAATCCTTTTGTTTATGAAAAAAAAAAATCAAAGTTCAAACGTTTATGCATAATTGGTATCAAAGCTTATTTCATTTTAAAGGTCAAATGATGATTTCTTGTCCTGTTACTCATTATTATCAAGCCAAGTATATGAATTTATGTGTGTTTTTTTTTTAAACCCATTAGTGTTTTTAACATTTTCTTTTGGTTGGATTTTTTTTCTTTAAATATCTGTTTTGGTTTTGAAAAAAATAGAGGTAATGGAGTGATACATCAGTGGAGATTACGCATGGAGGCAGGCGTGCTTGGTGGTGGTGGTGCTGCTACTGCTGCTGCCCACTATCATTTCTTCATTCCTATGCCAAAAAAAAAAACCTAAGTAATTGAAACTTTGAGAGAAACACAGGAAATGGAAGAAAGAGGAGGGAGAGGGGGACAACTCATGTCCACTTTTCGACCTTTTTAGGTGCAAAATCTTCTCAGGATTGATTGTTGTCATAAAAAAGTGAAGAGATCTTGAGTGAAATGCCGTCAATTTGTCTTGTACACGTGCACTTAATTATTGCTTCAATTGAACTGAATGTGACCATAAAAATGATGTGAAATTAAAGTGAACAGTAACCTTTTTTTTTTTTGGGGGGGGTGAAGCTTTAATTTTCCAAAGACAACCAAGTGGCTTAATGTCTAATAATGTCACATGTGCTTTATCATCACTCGCTAATACTACATGGCCCGTAAGAGTGATCAAACTGGAATTCCCAACCAACCATGCATTTACTTATAATAATATTCCATTAGATTTCTTTTGTAGGATTTTAGGTGTATGTTCATTGAATTGACTATAAACTCCACCAAGTCTTTACTTGATTTGAGGGGGAAAAGGAAGATGGTGGGTGTAAAGCGTTAGGAATCTGTGGGGGTCGAGCACCAGTTGTATAGCAAATTAAAAGACATAGTCTTTTATCTTTGACCCTAAAAAAGCTCTAAATATTAAAGAAGTGAGGGCTGCATTTTTTGTAATGAGAAAGTGCGCCGAAAAGTGTAATGAAAGCTAGAAAAGATAGAAAGAAAATGGAAAAGAAATAATTGATTAGACGGAAGTTAATATGTGATTTGATTAAGTTAAAATTTTATAAGTAGATTTATGATTTAATATTTTATATTTTAAATAGTAAAAATTGAGTTTGAAGTTTTTTAAAATAAAATTAGAATGTATTTATTAAGTTATTTATTTAGTGAAATTTTTTTAATTGTCTCTCTGATTATTGATTAGCTTTAATTTTAATTAGAAAAGAACTTTATATATCCATTATTTGATAGTAAAGATTTTTTTGGTGGTTTGTGATTTTTTTCATCTACACTAAAAGATTTTTCATGTAAATTTTGGTATGCTTTATTTTTTGTGTTTTGGATTATTGATTGTTATCTATTATTGAATTTATTGCGATATATTGCTTCTCCATTATTACATTTATCACTTTAGACTCAACAAGTGATATCAGAGCGAGATTTATTTGAGACATCGATACAAAAATAACCTAAGATAGAAGGAAATTATATTTAAGATCATAAAAGGTGATACAAGTTCTATGATAAAATTGATAGTATCAAATTATTCAATTTGGAAGCTTATAATGGAGTGTCATTTATATTACAAAAATTTGTATAAGCTGATATTGGGTGATTCAGTTAAGACATCCGATATGAAAGATGAAAACTAGAAAAAGCTGGTAGAAAGACACTAGTTATAATAAAAAAAATGGATTGATATTAGTGTTTCTATTATATAACATAGGAAATAGATGCCCACATTATTTGAAAAAAATTAACAGCATTGTATGAGACGAAAATAGGCATGAATAAAGTTATGTTTGTTAAAAAGCTTACAACTTTATAGCATAGGGATGGACGATCAATTATAAAAGCACTTAAGTGATTTTCAAGATATATTTAATCGGATGACTATTATGGAGCTTAAGATAGATGATAAAATGAAGACGTTGTTTATTTTAAGTTTATTATCAAATAGTTAGAATACTCTAGTTATGACTATTTTTAATTCAGCTTATACTTATAAGGTGATATTGGAGATAATAAAAGACGGTATACTTAATGGAGAAGAAAGATGAAAAAATTTAAATCTTAAGAATCAAGCTCTTGTCACAAAGAATAAAGGTAGAAATATTGACAGAAATCAAAACTCGAAAAGTCATAGTAAGTCTAAACAAATATCCAAGTCTAAAGATAAAATGAAGTGCTTCCATTGTGGTAAACTAGATCATATAAAGTGACACTATAAAATCTTGAAGCAAAAATGAAAAAAAATGAGAAAAGTAAGAGTTTAGATTATGGAATGTTATAACAATGAATTCAGATAGCAATTCAATTACTTTGATTTATACACATAGTGATTGTAATCACATTGATGATCTCGACTTTGAGTGGATAGTTGACACAATAGTGACATATCATTGTGTTCTTAAAAAAAGTTATTTATAACTTAAAAAGCATAAGGCTTTGGTTATACCAAAATGAAAAATAAGAGTGTATCACAGATTATTGGGATTAATGATATTGTTATGCAAATTAGTACGGGCTATTTGCTGACTTTGAGGGATGTCAAACACATTCTGAATATGAGAATAAACTTACTTGCTATTAATGTTCTTGATAAAAAAAGATATGAAAATCAATAAAAGAATATATAGTGAAAGCTTATCAAAAGATCTATGATAGTTTAAAAAAACTTATGCTGCACAATGTATAAGATATGAATACAATTGAATAACAACTAGCTAAATGCTATTAAAGATGATGTTTCAGCAAATATGTGGCACAAAAGGTTAGCACACATAAGCGAGAAAGGGTTACAAGTTTTGGTAAGACAGTCTCTCATTACCTTAACTAAAGATATATCTCTTGATTTATGTGATTATTATTTGTTTGGTAAGCATCATAAAATTTTTTTCGTAAGCATTCTCAGAGAAAAAACATATTGAAATTAATTCATTATGACGTATGTGGTTCCATTAAGCTTGAGTCATTGAGTGGTAGCATGTATTTTATTATTTTTATTGATGATGCTTCACGTAAGACTTAGGTATATATATTAAAAAACAAAAGCCATGTATTACAGGATTTTAAAAAATTTCATATTATGGTCCAAATGATGACAGGATTATCCTTGAAGTGTATTCAGTATGATAATGTTAAAGAATACATATCAAAAGACTTTGAATAATATTGTTTAAAGTATGGGATCAGGTATGAGATGATAAAATCTAGAACACCGTAACATAATGATGTAGCTAAAAGGTTGAATCTTATTATTATGAAAAAAGTTAAATTTATGTTGAGGATGACAAAATTACCAAAGCCATTTTAGGATGAAGTAGTCAGTACAACTTATTATTTGCTTAATAGATCACCATCAATTCTTTTAGGTTTTGACATTTCAGAAAGAGTATGGATAAGAAAAGATGCTTCATACTTTTACTTGAAAGTTTTTCAGCATAAAGCATTCATGTATGTGCCGAAAGAGCTGAGGTTAAAGCTTGAAAATAAAGCTACACAGTATATATTTGTAGGATATAGTGATAAAAATTTGGCTACAGGGTATAAGATCCGGTGAAAAGAAAGACAGTAAAAAATAGAGATATGATCTTTTATGAAAAAAATCATAGCAAACTTTAAGAAAAATAAGAAGACTACACGAGTTACTGGTAAGTATGATGTTTCAACATTGATAAGGGTTCCACTGAAAAGAGCCATAGATGGTGAAAATAGGTAAGAGATAGAACTTAGGGATATACATTAGCTAGTCACAATTAGTGATAAGCTAAATATAATCAGTTTTGAGCAAAGAGAGTAATTCTCTTTATCTGAGAATGTTAAATAGGGTGAGCAATCATCTTCATCAGAGAGTATTGAGCAAAGGGAGTTACTTTCAGAATCAGATAGTGTAGACCATCCACTAGGTATCCAAGTTTAGATTTTATCTTTATTACCAATTAGGGGGAGTCAGAGAGTTTTTAAGATATACAGACTACTCCAAATAGAAAAAATTGATTAAAAGTAATAAAAAAATATAGTCATTACAAAAAAATGGTATATATGTTTTTGTTAAACTTTTAAAATGGAAGAGGCCATTGAAAAATAAATGGGTGTTCCAGTTAAAAAAAGATAGTGATAAACTAGTGAGTTACAAAACTTGATTTGTGGTGAAAGGTTTTTTTCAAAAATTGACATCGATTTTGATAAGATCTTCTCTCCAATTGTGAAAATGAGTTTCATTCAAGTGGTACTAGGATTAGTAGCTAGTTTGAATCTTAAGCTTGAGTAACTTGATATTAAGACTACATTCTTACATGGTGACTTATATGATGATATTTATATAAATCAACCTAAAAGTTTTAAAGTGAAAAAGAAAGAGTACTTAGTTTTCAAACTGAAGAAAAGCTTGTATAGCTTGAAACAAGCTCTGCGACAGTGGTATAAAAAGTTTGATATTTATGGTGAGTCACAGCTATAAAAGAACTGCAGTGGATCCTTGAGTGTATGTTAAAAAAATTTTTGATGGTAACTTTATTATTCTCTTTTACATATTGATGATATGTTGATTGTAGGATAATATGTTGGTACGATTTGCAAGTTAAAAAAACAATTGTCTAAGTTCTTTGATATAAAGGATTTAGGTCTAGCAAAGCAGATTTTCGGTATAGATATTATCTGATATAAGAGAGCTAAAATGTCATGGTTGTAACAAAAAAAGTATGTTAAATGGGTATTTAATAGATTCAACATACAATATGCTAAATTGGTTAGTAATCCACTTGCCAACCATTTGAGTAAGAAATTTTGTCCAATGATTAAGGAAGAGGAACTAATTATGTCTAGTATTCCTTATTCTTTTGTATTTAATTTTTTTATGTATCTTATGGTTTGCACACTACTTGACATTACTCATGCAGCTGGTATAGTGAGTAGATTTTTTTTTAATCTCAAAAAGGTTCACTAAGAAGCAGTGAAATGAATTTTTAAATATTTGAGGAGCACCTTTAAAAATGTGTTTAAGTTATGGAGTTTCACAATCAATTTTAGAATGGTTTACTAATTCTAACATATCATGTAATCTTGGTGGTAAGAAATTTACTTCGAGGTATTTATTCACTTTTACAGCAAAAATTGTGCCTTGACAGTTTAAGTTGTAAAAATGTATTGTCTTGTCAACTACAGAGGCTAAATATATTGCAACAACCAAAGCAGGGAAAGAAATGCTTTGGATGAAATATTTTATCCTTGAATTAGAGTTGAATCAAAAAGAGTATATGATGTTTTGTGCTAGTAATAGTGCTTTAGATTTGAATAAAAATGTCATGTATCATGTTAGAATAAAACGCATTGATGTTAGATATCATTAGTTACGTTTAGTGATTAAGGAACAATAGATGCAATTAAAAAAAGTCAATACTAATGAGAATGCAGCAAATATATTAACTAAAATATTTTCTAGAGAAAAACTTAAGCTCTACAATAACTTAGCCCGAATAGGTTCCTTGGCCAAGGTAAGTTCTAAATGAAATTGCTACAGTGATGAATCTCTACCTAATTGGGCTGGAAGGAAAGATTGTTAGGAATGTATAAGGTACAGCCCAATTGTTTAGCAAATTAAAAGGCCCAAAGCCTTTTGTTTTTGACTTTAAGAAAGCCCTAAATATTAAAGAAGTGAGGGCTGCGTTTTTGGCAATGAGAAAATGTGCCAAAAAGGGAAAAAAAAAGTCAGAAAAGATAGAAAGAAAAGGAAAAAGAGATAGTTGGTTGAACAAAAATCAATCTGTGGTTCAATTGAGTTAAAATTTTATCAGTAAGTTTATAATTCAGTGTTCTATATTCTGAACAGTAAAAATTGGGTTTGAAACTCTTTAAGAACAAATCTATGGTGTATTTGTTGAGTCACTTATTTGGTGAGATTTTTTTAATTATCTCTCTAGTTATTTATTAGCTCTAGTTTTAGCTAAAGAAAAACTTTGTATATCCATTATTTGATAGTAAAGATTTTTCTAGTGGTTTATGATTTTTTCCCTTTACGCTGGAGGATTTTTACATAAATATCGATGTGCTTTGTTTTTTCTGCATTTTGGATTATTGATTATTGCCTATTGCTGTAAGTTTATTGTAATATATTGTTTTGCGTTATTGTGTTTATCGTCTCAGGCCAAACAACAAGAATAACTGCTCATATATATATATATAAATATATATATATATAAATATATATATAACGTGTGTAAAGAGTGATTTTTGCTCATGTCTAGTTGAAGAGAAAAGCCAAAGAAAGAAAAAATTATTGAGAACTATATGAGTTATGTATAATTAATAAGATTATTATTGTAAAATCTACCATTTAATCATTTATGACTTGTATGCTGAAAATCTTCCATTTGTACCGAATAGCATTGGTGAAAATAAAAGAATTAATTCCAAGCCAATAATGAGTACCACAATTATTTTCTATATATTGCGATGATATTGATGAAGCAGTATAATTGAGCATAAAAATAAAAATGAAGTTAGCAATTGTATTGAAAGGAGACGTGGTCGAACCATATTTTGACAAAAGAAGACAATATTTTGACTATAATCACATTAGATGATACACTTTCGTTGTAGTTAATAGTTGAGTAAACCCACTCTAATGCCCTCAATCTTGTGTTTGTCTTGGGAATTTACTTTACCAAAAAAAAAAAATTTTCATGCAAATTTCAAGGTTAACCTCTAATACGTACGTGAATTCTAAATCATAGATGCCAGGCATATCCCTCCCTAACCCTAATTATATATCCTGATTAAAACCCGAAACTCACTTTTTGGTTATCTTATCGCTGTCCATAGCTTGAGGTTATGGTTTCTGTAGTTAGAAAGGTAAGTCATGTAAAAACAAGATATTCGATAAAATTAAGCATCCGTGAGCTTATAATAGGTGAAATGTTAAAAATTAACCTTTATATCCTGGTACTTCATCACTCCCACTGCCCATTAGCCTGATTCTAGACCTATTGTTGTGATTTTACTCCAATCTTTGCTGAATGACCTTATCATTCAGTTCCCATCAAGCTAGCTTCATACCTGGCAGAAAAGGAGCAGACAATGTGGTTCTTGTTCAAGAGGTTATTCATTCCTTTGGAAGAAAGAAACGGGAAAAAATGTGGCATATGTTGATAAAAATCGACCTTGAAAAAGCTTATGACAGGCTCCAATGGAGTTTCATTCGTGAAACTCTCCTGTAGTGGTTCTATTAGGTCTTGTCCCCAAACTGATGTAGTTATTTAATTTTAATGAAGCTTCCTTTTAAACCGACAAGAAAAATGCTTATAATTTCATATTCAAGTTCCATATATTATTAGTAAATTTACCACATTATTAAAATTTTATAAATATTAATTAATAAACACTAGTAGATTAAATATGGATCATATATATTTGAGAATTTAAAGGAATCTTCCGCTATCAAATATATTAGACAACTAGATTTGATAAGGTAATTAATTCACTCAGACAACTAGATTAAATATAGATCATATATTTTTGACAGTTTAGAATCCTCTGCCGTCGAATATATCAGACGACTTTAAAACCTTGAACCCTGTACTTTAATATGTTTAAATTGGATACCCCTCAATATTCTGGATGATTTTAATCAGTATGGACGACCAGCTAAGCTAAGCAAACAGATGTCGTATAACTCAAAACACCATTAAAATATACTACGAAAACGCAAGCGAAATTCCTCTGAACAAAGGCTAACCCACAAAACAGTAATTCGTAAGGGTATTTAGCATATGTAAAGATCTAAAGAGTTGGAAACTTAGCAAAATACTACATTTAGACTTTATTTGGGGCAACCCAATATTGGCTCTAAACCACCACAGGAACCTCGATATTGGCTGGGGGAAGGGGTGCTTCATACAGTTTTTCTTTTAGCTCTTCCTCTTCCTTTGGAGGGTGGATCGTGACAAGATCAGGCAATGGGATCATAGGGCCCTGCTTGCCCTTAGGATCCCAATCGAGCATGATTTTAACTTTGATACCCAGCACACCCTGAAAACATTTCAAACAGAACGATAGGTCTCTCAGATCCATAAAAGTATTGTGAGGCAGAGTGAAACAAGTGGAAATATATTTAAAAAATAACAAACCAAAAATGGACAACTCTCAAGTTACAAGTCTTAACACATAACCGCATTGTTGGATAATAATAGCCGCAAAAAGGCACTAAAATGCATTTTAACTGACCTGCCTAAGAAGGACGTGTCTAACAGCAGAATCAATATATTCCTTGACAGGATGACCGGAGGATATCATGTAGCCATCCTTGAACTTCATAGACTTGGCACGCTGAGCACGGAGCTTTCCACTCACAATGACCTGAGTGCATATTAACAAAATAAAACTATAATGTGCGAATGCTTAGGTGTAAGCACTCAGAAATAAGAAGGAAAAATGCTGATGGATTTACCTCACATCCCTTGGCCCCACTCTCCATGATAAATCTGAGAACACCGTAGCAAGCCCTATAAACATGAAAAAGTAAGAAGTTTAATGCCCACTATCCAGAAAGAACAAAGGAGCATAATTAGCCCTTTGTTTATTTTTTAAGGGGTAGGAATGAATGCTAGCGTACATTTGAGAAAACAGAAACTTCAAATGTCAACATGTATTATAACATCCTTAAGAGTTTGGTCATAAAAACTACAATCAACTTGTTCTAAATCAAGACGTGGAAGAAAAAAAGAAAATTAGCTACAGAGGAATAAACCAATCTTCTAAAATTATTACACATTCAACCTAATGGAAATATACAGCATGTGGGAGGATATTCCAAACTCCAAGCACCATAAATTGAGCACAAGAAGCCTGACTAACTCCAAGAAATCTTTTATTTGGGCATTGATTACACCCCCAAGGCTATCACGCAACAAAAGGGGGCTAAACAATAGTAATACATTAATGCCTGCACAGACAGATGGTTGCTACAGACAAATTTTGCACAAAATATTGAAAGACCATCAAGTGAGAAGGTATATGCTTCCAAATCAATTTTCTTCCATAAAAAGACTGACTGTAAAATAAAAACAGAATGCTAATATATTCATTGAAATCTACCATCCAGATTGGATTTGCAAGGAACATATATAAGTACCTTTCCTTTACCTAAGAAATCTAGATGGAATTAACAAATATAGTCATCCTCAGACACGAGAGAGGCAAACTTTTGACAACCAACTCGCCGTAAAGATGACTTTGTGTGTGTGTGTAACATATAACATAGTAAAGTCAAATATGAAAAATCCCGACGTAGCTTAATATTTAATTCATTTACCTCCGAACAGCAAGGCCTCCAAGGAGCTTGTAGCGCAAGGACTCAGCCTGAGCAATGGCGCAAAGACCTCTGTTGTTAACTTTCTCAGCATAGAGTTCTACACTGTTCTCAGGAAACTTGAACCGTTTCTGAACAACAGAAGTAAGCTCTCTAATCCTTCTACCCTTCTCACCTAACATCAGATCATTAAACCTCAAGTGAGAATTATATGATTGAAATTAACATTACAAGGCACAGCAGAAAACGGGCAATTAAAACACCTTTACTAAAAATTGAGAGAATTACCGAGAACATTTTGAGTACGAGTGGCTCTGATGATGATCTCAGTACGCATAGGAGTAACCCTAACTTCAACTCCAGAGTATCCATCCTCAGCAAGCTCCCTTGTCAACACCTCATTCAGCTCTGCGTAAAACACTCCATCGGCGACAAACTGGCCGCCCAATCAAATCGTAAATCAAAACTTTAAGCATCACACGATGGCTCTTTCCGCTCAACGAAAGAAAAGTTTACATCTTGTTAATCATAGTCACTGGGAGACCTTATTATACTTATAACCAAACATAAAATCATTTTCAGTTTCTTTAATAAATAAAAATCATATCTAACATCTTCCAAATCAAAGAAACATAGTAAGAATTATTTTATTAATTCTAAATACTATACTGTATATTAAGGGGAAACGAAACGAAAGTTCGAAGTCTGAATAAATTCCGGAAAATGAAACGTAAAAGAATGAATCAGAGAAAGTGAAAGGGGGGGGGGGGGGTCGAACCTTGCGCTTCTTGCTAATCTGAGTAGTCATGTTTTTAGGGGAATCGAATCGAAAGAAATAGTAAGTCGAGGTTACGACTTGCTTCTTCGCCGCTTCTGATGGATTATCTAACCTAACAAATAATATGTTGAATCCTGACTAGGTTTTTGAAGGCTCATGAATGGCGAGTCTCTTTTAGGCTTAAATTTTGGGCTTTTGTTTGTGTGGGTTTTGGGCTAAAAGAGAAAAAGAATCCAACCCAAAATCACCTTCACGGCCCGATTGCTTTCGGACGGACTCAAGAAGTCAAGGCCAATTTTTGGCCATGTAACTTTGATAGATTTGCATGTTTTTCTTTAGTACTTGAAGTTTAAAAAACCTTTAACTCAACCCAATTAGGAAAACTTGGTGTATAATTAAGTGAAATATTTGTGGATTTTTTTCATCATTTATATGATAGAAAAAGAGTTTAAAGCTTTAAAAAATAAGGAATAATGACAATGAGATCTTGTCTTAATAGCAAAGAAAAAGTCCTAAAACCTTTTCAAATCCCATTTATGTGTGTACTTTAGTTCAACTTTATTTTGAATTTATGTAATTATGTTTTAATTTGTTAGATAATTATTCAATAATTTTTTTATTTATGGATGCAATACTTTATTTTGACTGTAACTTTTTTTTCTACTTGTAATATAAAAAAAAAAAAAAAAACAAAGGAATAATAACTTAGACTAGATGCATGTATGAAATGTAGTCCTTAGAAGTTCCATGATTCCATCTGCCCACAAGTGGATGAAGTCATACAAGAATTACAACTTTATAAGATTTAAACTAAACCTTATTCTTTTGAATACTCCAAAAAATTTTTGCACGAGCAAAATAGAAGGATAACTGGGTTGCCTTGAATTTGTTATCTCTTCCAGGGTGTTCAGCAGTACTTGTAATCACAAACTAGAAGTCTGAATGATATAAACAAACTAGACTTGAATGAGCTAGGGGTGTACGACAAAGTGGGCATTCAGGCTTCTCATTGCACCATCCCATGATGCAGTTCCTACAGGCAAACCGTGTTATAGGAATTATTGCAGTTTCTGTCGACATAAAATCCAGAGAAAAAGAGCCTTTGGGTGCAAGGCAATTGTACCAGCAGAATACATGACCGCATAGTGTAGCTGTTGGGTATTGGCGATTGCTCAGGCACAATGTGCATTTGCTCACACCACCTGTTGACTGAATTTGCACATGCGGTAGCTTAGTTAATCATTTGCAGAGAGGTCCCATAAACAATTAACTAGGTTGACGAGTTTCATTTGCAGATGGCAGAATTTCTCTAACAAGCACAGATAACAAACTATTCCATGCCGCAGAAGCATCTTTTAAGCTTTGTATGTTTTCATTAGGCAAAGTTTAGGCAACCGGGAAATCACTTCATAGCACTTTAAATTACCCAAAACAATTTCCATCTTTAACATCTAATAATTAATAGATCTAATTAAATCAAAGATAAGCAGTTGTAATATTTAAAGCAACCCTCTTTGGGAAGAGCTTTTAAATTTGGGCGTTTATCAAAGATAAATTCATTAGTTATGAGATCAGTGCTCCATTATTATTTAAATCCTTTCATCAATTGCACCTGCCATGGATTAGTAACAAAAATACCCTATTGTTGATCTTGCCTAGTACTTATGATCTCTTAATCTAGCAATTTCCTAAAATGAATCTGGCATTAGAAAACAAATAGTATTAGAAGATGATTACAAAAAAATATTCAGCGAGAAAGATAATTTACCTCTGAAGTTGATTCGCCAACCCAACTACCCTGGTCAGCCTTCATGGATATCAAGTTGCCTTCTTCATTTAAAACAGGCAAATCTCGTCCTACACGCCCAGACATTAATATGTCAAACAATACATGCTAATCTCCCACAACAACATCATTTCCAATGAGGATAAAAAGAAGTCCTAAATATGCATTTCCTAGTGCAAAGAGTAAGTTAGCTATTTGAAGAGCTTCACTAAGTAGCAATACAACTTAAGAACCCAGATTCCATATTTGCTGATTGAACTGATATTTTTGGTACAATTAAGTTGACATTCATTCTTGGAACAATCAAAATGGATTCAACGTATAGGCAAGGAAGCAAGTTCAGCTTATTAGATTACAAGTTAATCATCATGCAATTGGCAATTGGCACAATGTAAGCTTTTCATTTTGAAAGCTGCAAGTTTATTAAAGCACTATAACAAAACTTGTTAAAAATAACCTGTAGGATTTTGATGGGACCCTAATGAGGTCTGATGAATTGAACTTGCAATTGAAGATAAGTTGCTGTGTCGCAGACCTTCAGCAGCAATGATGCATAGCTGAATTAAAAGGAACACACCCAAGATTTGATACCTGCAGTTGAAGGCAGTCAGAAAAGTTTTTAAAAATCTCACAAGGAACATTCACTATCAGTACACTCAAATTTTTCCCTGCATTATGTTGAGCTCCAAACATGTAAACAACAGAAACCACATGAAAGCAAACAAGATATCTAGATGCAAGTAGAAAACCATATACCTGGGCCTCTGATTTGATGGCTTCCCAATGAACACATAGCGA